ACGTCAAAACGGACTTCATACATTCTTAACTGCTGCATGTGTCAGCATAAAAATGTTTTCATTTTTAATTTAGATCTGCAGCTGTGAAATATTTCTGGAGGCTCACTGCAGCACTAAAAATAAATACGAAGTTTTGTTCTAAATAAATAGTTTTTTGTTCCTCGCTTAAAATCCCAACGTCTCATACAGTGACACGCGTGGAGCCAACACCAAAAGATTCTTCCAACCAATCCGACGACTATAACTGGGAAATAAATTGCCTATCGTGGATTCAGCGCGATTATCACCAACGTTTTTCGATCCACTGCCGAATGAAGGCCTCTCAGGATCAAGCGAACTTTTTCAGCTCGTCCTGCATCGATCTGTAGGTCTTTCGACACACTGTTATTCCCTCTTGGAACTCAGTCTACTGTAACGATGGCACAATGATGGTTGGTTCTTGCTGCAACGTGCCCTGCACATTGTCCATTTGACTTCTTCACTCCGGCAATGACATAGCAAACTCTTGTTGGTGTTCCTGCCCATTTACTTGTCTCCCTATTATTTGTCTTCTTGTTATTCCTAACAGATTTTTCCATGCTACGTTGCGCGGTCTGCAGTTTATAAATAGCTTCCGGGCAGATGGTTTACGTCTTGCTCCCACAGGTTAGCGCTGGGAATACGCAGTGATCGAAAACTTTCCGTTTCAAGCACATGGCAGTTTTCTAGATCGAAGCATTTTCAGTCTTTCAAAAGTAGTCAACGCCATTTCTATTCGCCGTTGATTTCTCTGTCGAAATAATTAGTCAGAGTTTTGCACCTCTTCGAGTCTAAGTCCCTTGATTTCAACAGGTCACGGGGTCAAGTATTTGTTAAACATCGCTTGAGTCTTCTTTAGATTTATTTTCAATTTATCATTAATGCTGGCATTGTTTTGATATCGGGCACTTCTTTAAAGTTCTGTTGGTGAGCAGAATGTCGTCGGTAAACTGCAAGTGGCTTAAATTGTGCCCATTTATGTTCAGCCTCTGATTTTCCTAAAGAAAGTATTGGAAGCTTCTTCTGGAATAGCTGTGAATAACTCTGGCTATTGATATTGCGTTTCTCTGTCAGGCTCTCATTATGATTTTGAACTTGCACGTGATTTAATGAAGCTCTACATTACCATCTGCATTCTTGTAGATCATCACGATGACGCCTCTGCATATCAGTAAAAATAATAATGATACCCGATTCAATCAGCAAATACACAGTGTAAAGAAAGAAAAATTAAATTTCTCGCTTTACACCAGAAGCTGATTGCACCGCACCCTTGCGTTTAGACGCCCAGAGGACCATTTAAGCAGGTCACGGCATAGTGGTATTATTTTCTTGTTCGAGATGCGGTTCTGCGTCCTATGCACTGCATGTGTTTAATACCAAGAAGCCGTGACCTGCTTAAGTGGTCCCCTAGGCATCTATCTAGAAGCAAGGGAGCGGTAAAATCAGCTGCTGGTGTAAAGTGAGAAATTCAATATTTCCTTCTTTACACTGCGCATTCACCGTTTGACTCTGGTATCATTATATTTTTACTGTGATGTATTCAGCAGCGGAATCGTGAGCTCTCCAGAATATCGGGGTCCATTCTGTCAGGTCTCTGTACCTCTTTTCGATTCCCTGACTCATCTAGAAATCCAGGACAGAAAGGATGGCGACTGAATCGAAAGCCTTCTCGAAATCGATCAATTCCAGCCAAGAGGAAGTTGATATTCTCTGCTTATCTGAATCACTTATGTGCCACCTGGAGATTATCCATCGTACTGAACCTACTTTCGAATCCTGCTTGTTCCGTTCTCTGTGCTGTGTGCAACTTTCTGTCGAGGATTAGCAGAACTATAATCATTCTTCTAATTTCGTTTGCCCGACACCTCAGATGCAGGCAAACAGGGAGGTTAAGTTAAGTAATTGCGACGATGAATAATTACGTACAATCGCCCTCGTAGAAGGGTATTAAAGATACCGATGATTCACAGGTAAGCTGTCCATGAAAATATGGAAGGATGAAAAGAAGTTCAACCCTTTATGTGACCTGGATGACGTGAAGAAAACAAACAAATTCTTAGGCATAATACTTTGCCAGCATACTGATACGACAAGAGGTAAATTATATGAAATACTCAATAACTGACCAAGTGATTGATTATGATCGAAACCTTATAAACAAATTTTAACGCATGGCAATAAGCTAATGGAAAGCTCCAAGAAATGCTCTGCACACGATATCAAAGAACCGAAAGGAAGTAAACACCACTGAAGCTGCGAGGAACGAAAGGAAAATTATAAACGGTTATAACGCATTGCACAAAACAACGCTGAAACCGTTCGACCTCTGTAATAAATATTTTACTTATGCAATTGGCGAAAACATCACACTATCGACTGATTCCATAGCGTTTATAAGAAGAAAGAGATTGTGACGCATAAGACGTTAATGGTGACTTGCTGCAATCGCTAAGGGCAAACTCAATACACCGCTTCACTTGTAACGATCTATTGCCACTTGTTGTCGACAGACCATTCTTCACTTCCAAGGTGCTCCACTTTTTTGGAGGACACTGCTGCTTGATTGACATTGCGATTCCTCGTGAAATACAATAAATTCAAACCTGTGTAAAGCCTTGATACCTCGTTGATTCAAGTAAGCAAAACAGGAACTACGAATGCTTCATATGGTTAAACTGAAAATATCTCCGTCCGTACGCTTTGACAATCGGCGGTAGGTGGAGGCCTGTCCAAAACTTCAAATAACACTGCTTAACGGCTCCGCAGCATCCCAGGTCTGTAGCTAAAGCATCCGTTTCCCTCACTACGCACTTGACAGCGATTTTGTTTTTTAAATGGAGGCAAGTAAATTCTTTCCTCTGAGACGGCCAAATGGCACTACACCAGATTAAATAAGGTCAGTCGCCGTAGTGATCGACTGTAAACGACGATGCGAATGTCTGTCCTGTCGAACAGACATCTAAAGTCGAGATGCCTATCAAGGTATCTAAGACTATAGAACGTTAGAATAAAAGTATTCCTTAGGTTAATAATAACATGTCTATCTGAAACGGCATCTCGGAATTTTAATCTGTCTTGCATGTTCCTCAGCACGAACTGAATTATTTTTAGTACGTGTTTCTCCAAATTGCATTGGTCTGCAACACGTAAAGATTCCCACGGAAGAAGGTTCGTGAACCAAATTCGTTTATCCTTTCGAGCTGTTTTGTCAAGACGAGGTATTCGTCCGTTTCTAAGCTACTGTGAATACTACTCAAGTTCAACGATTGCAGGATTCATGACACGTTTGCACGGCACGTCTGAAGGATACAATCAAAATTAACGAGATGAGGAAACTTCAGAAGCTTTAGAAAATATAACATCCTCTAAGATCATAAACCGATCTACAAACCTACTGGCTAGTCTTTCAAATTCATAAAAAGCGTTATGAATCAAAAGTCAAGTAAAGTGCAAAATATAGTACTCTCTCAACTGTTAAAAGTCTGAAATCGTAAGTCGCTGCGGAGCTCCGTTTGGGAAGAGGAAAGAACTTTGCTGAATAAAGCTCTCTCACTCATATCGATCTTTCGTAAGAAACTGATAAAAAAATGCATTATCAGATATAGAGAATGAATTCAGTGTGCAAAATCTATGCCTCTAAACTTCAACACCACTTCAAGATTGCAGTGGCCGCGACAAATTCCAGAATCATAATTACACTACGGTAACGGAACAGCTGATTCACAGGTTTGGAAAGATATTGTTTACCTCATGTAATGGCGACTGTCCCAGGCGTAGTCGTCCCATATGTCCGAATCTTGCCAGTAGCGATTGTACACTTTTGGCCGATAGATTTCAGATACGTATTTTAGGTCTGAATTC